TCCAAAACGTAATTTTAGACCTAGTAATGGAGACTTGAGCCATCGATTGCAGACTAATGCAGTTAATAATGAACCTATTAGAAAGAGAGAGAGAGAGATACTAAGTGTGTGTGAATTACCTGAGTCTGTGGGTCTCTCAACAGAGTTCGTCAGCAGCAAGAACAGCGCCGTTATTACCTTGCTAGTTGCTGAACTATTTTACTGATAAAATCGTCAGAACAGCGTTGACGATGGGCCATTGAATTATTAGAAAATAATGCACACCCGAGGAGTTAATTATTCTGCTTATACTATGGCTACCACACCTCAAGACGCTTGAAACGCTGATTGAAACGCTCTTGAGTGTAGGATTAATTTCTTACGCATCTCAACCCACGCTTTCATAGCTAATTCCAAAACGTAATTTTAGACCTAGTAATGGAGACTTGAGCCATCGATTGCAGACTAATGCAGTTAATAATGAACCTATTAGAAAGAGAGAGAGAGAGATACTAAGTGTGTGTGAATTACCTGAGTCTGTGGGTCTCTCAACAGTGTTCGTCAGCAGCAAGAACCGCACCGTTATTACCTTGCTAGTTGCTGAACTATTTTACTGATAAAATCGTCAGAACAGCACTGACAACACGTTTCTGTGCTGGTGTGTGTCTGTACTGTATATGTGTGTGTTTGTAAGGGAGAGCGAGCAGGAGAAATAGAGTATGTGCTTTCTGCACATAATAAAACATTATTTTGTGGCAAAAACATGGAAATTATTTGTTGTTTTTATCCTATTGTTTACTATATTTAATAGCTTGGTCAGTGTCGTCGGCTGTAAGGACCTTTGAAATAACTCAAATCATTTGGCAAAGTGATATGAACATGTAATGCAGTCAAGACCTGCCTGGAACTACTTTAGCCGTGATGTGTTTCCCTGAAAATAATTGCAAACCTTAGATCGTTCGTCAGCCCATCAGATTAGAGAATTCAAAAACCCCATAGTATAATGTATAAGAATTAATTATCTTAGGCACTTCAGTAAAAGTTTTAATTTGACTATAGTATATCAGCATCAAACCTTCACATGATTGTTTGATATTACTGTAATATAACCTTTTGCTGTTATGTTAATCACACAAATGTAATATGATTCAGAAAGATATTGAATCTTTGAAATTATTCTCACCAAAGAAATATGAATAAGTAATACAAGCTACAGTTTTCAGATTCAGATCACTCTGTGTGTAATATATAATATATATATAAAAAAGATATACCTGACATGTACAATATATACTTATATATACACTTATATATTTCCACAAATATACACTCTAAAAAATGCTGGGTTGTTTCAACCCAATGTTGGGTCAAATATGGACTAACCCAACTGTTGGGTTAAAAAGCTCATTTAAAAATGTAACCAAAATTTAACCCAACAGTTGGGTTAGTCCATATTTGACCCAACATTGGGTTGAAACAACCCAGCATTTTTTAGAGTGTATATACACATTCTGTAATTCTCAACGTCTAGGAATAATCCCGAGGTTTAGGATTGGCAAGGTTAGATTTTGAAAGGTAAATTACAATATGTTCCTATAGTGAACTGCTCACTTCTTAGTCCTCTTACCTCCACCTGCCTATCGCAGATCCAATTACTCACAGAAATATGTCCATGTTTTCCATGTCTCCCATAATACAGAGGCTCTCCAGTAAAACTCAATTCACATTGGTAATGAGTATGTACTCTAACATTTCCCCATGCAGACAGACCAATCTGCCACAGAGCTGCACATAAAGGGTTTTTGCATTAGGCAAAAGCTCAGAGGGAAACGAATCCATGAGATATTGCTTTTTTCATTAAGTTGGAGTTTAATCAATTTAATCAAAATAGGTTGGGTCTGTGTAGATTTAGTTTAATGTATAAAATAATTCATATGTAATTTACATTGTATTTATTATCTTAGGCACTTCAGTAAAAGTGTAAATTTGATATCAGCACCAAACCTTCCAAAGGCTTGATGCAGTGGCAGCACTATGCAAAATTAGTGCAGCACAACTCCAGTGTTTACAGGTGAAAAATTAGCATTTTTTTGTTAAGTCATTTGCTGCAGTGCTATAATAGTGGGTTGCTGTGTTTTCATCACCGACAGCCTATTAAAGCCCTGTGAACCATAATGCCAGTGACTCAATAAGGTGAGACAGCAGAGTTTTTAAAGATGTTGCAATATTCACTGCCTCAGCTCTTTTCTTTCATAGCACTGCTCTGGTTACACACTGTAACAGTGGCAGTGAAGCATGGCATCAAAAAGCAGTCTGTAGAACGCAGGGGCGCGGGAAGATGTTTTCGGTTGGGGGTGCTGTGTGTGTCCGTGTTGGGTGAAAGGGGGGCAGCGAGGGGAGGGGGGGGGCACCTCATTTGACAACTCCACAAAGCACTACAAGTGCGTCGATATGAACACTCGTTTAAGTGGCATTGGAAATTTGACTGCATATCACATTTTTGAAATTATCGATAGTAACTGATCAATCTCGGGGGTTGGGCTAGGTCCGCTAGGCTTACTTGTCTCCGTCCTCGTGCTGGAGTTGGAGCTGGTTCACTTACGTCGGTGCTCGTGCTGGGGCTGGTGTTGGATGCCTATTTTGGAAAGTTTTTGCTGGGATGGGCATTTTAAAAATAATCTGAAATTCGCTTTTGTGCCATTATCTCCTTGTATTAAAGTTCATCTTGTTCGCATTCTGTATAGTTCATGTCTGATACCACGCGCCAGCGTCACGTGTTCATGAGGATTAGGCTAATCATCCCATACAGAAAACATCACAGGTAAAATGAATCATGTTTATAAAGATAAGCATGGGTTTGTTATAGCCCACTTACAATTTACATTTCAGAGATCATTACATATAAATTATTAAATGCTAAAACTGAATAAATTTAAATGAACAAACTTGCCGTTGCATTTGCAACCATGTGAAAACAGGGGGTGCTGCAGCCCCCTCAGCACCCCTACTTCCCACGTCCCTGGTAGAACACATTGTTTCATTCAGTCCGATGAGAGACAGCTTTATTTTGATCTACGGTTTCACTCCCTTGTGCTGCTATTGTTTTTTAGGATGATTCTGTGGAATCAAGGGGTGAAGCTGTCTGTTTCTGAAGTAATTTTCAACCTGATTACTGTTGCAGCATGGCAGATGGAGTAGCCAGCACTGGTGAATGGCAGATGTTTCAGTCTGTCTAGATCTACATTTCGTCCATCCAAATCCAAAGATCCAACAGAGATCTTTGGATTTGGCGTGATGAGACTAATGGCCTCATCAGTGTTGTTTTTGCCATGCTGATTTGTGGTAATGACTTCTCAGGGCACATCAAGGGGAAAATATGCTTTATAGCTTTATCTGTCAGGAACGGTAAACAGAAAGATCACATTTTGAATCTATTATTACTACTTGAGGTAATGCAAGGCTGCGTTTACACTGGCACAAAAAAATCCAATCTTTCGCTCACATCTGACACAGGGGTGCCCAACCCTGCTCCTGGCGATTGACTGTCCTGCAAAGTTCAGCTTCAACCCTAATCAAACACACCTGAAGCAACTAATTAGGGTCTTCAGGATCACTTAAAAATTAAATGCAGGTGTCTTTGATTAGAGTTGGAGCTAAACTTTGCAGGACAGTCAATCGCCAGGAGCAGGGTTGGGCACCCCTGCTGTAAACACAGATATCGGATACCAGTCGTGTCTAAAGTGAATGTAAACAGACGTGCCAAAAAATCGATTATGGTCAAAAGATCGGATCTGTGCATTAAGACTTGCAGTGTAAATGCAGCCCAATTTGTAGCTGTTTTGGGAGAATCCTAGAGGGATCTTCAGAGGCTCAAGCAAGCTAGAACAAGTGCAGTGTGAAATTTATTAAATAAATATTAAAGATTAACATTGTAATTGTAACAAGTGTAAATAATGTATGACGGTATATATAAGTTATGCTTTTGATGCGAACAATTAAAGCTTCACCTGCTAACCTGATTAGTAACACTGAGCCTCAGGGCACTTTCATGATCCAACAGTGCACAGATGTTTGGGAGTGAAAATTGGGCCTTTAACAGTTAGAGTTAAAGCAGTTAGTGTAAACTTGGCTGACTTCTGTTTCATCAGAAACACAGAATAAATTATTATTATTATTATTGTTGTTGTATGATATAGGTGTAGAATACGCGGGGGATGTGTCCCCTCCCCCCCCACCGACTTTTAATAACAGGTAAATTCATCCCCTGCACTTTTTTCGGGCGAAGTGTGAAGTGTGTTCACATAGAGGTTTTCAAAGGCCAATGAGAATAAATCTACACTTAAATTCAAAGAGACAAGATAGTCTGTGCATGACCTGATGTTTTATTCATATCAAGAATGAGGCGATGTGAACATCATAAAGCCCTCAACACTTTCACGCAGTGTATGTTTCATTCATACTTGAACCGGAGGTCGCTCTCGCGCAGAAAGTCCAAGACTGACTCATAGAAGTAATAACTTATGATGTGCCAGGTAATCCCTAAATACTCTTTGCTAATATGGACAAAAGCATATATTATATCAGTATTGTGAAGTATTTCCAGCTGAAACAGGGTTTTATTTTTGCGCTCCTCCTCTCCATCTCTCAATCATAGCAAACTAATGGTTAGAGGGTGTGGTTAAGAATATTCTGCCCAAGCCGTCAAACTGACGTCAGCAGAGAAGGAATGCCATTCCAGAGCTGAAGCAAATGATCAGATTTTGATTAAAGATTACCAAAACAAATGGATTAACTTGCATGGATTATGTGCGCTAACAAAATAAATATTGTACATTTTGATTTCATGCAGTCTTTAAGCTGAATAAAAAGTCCAAAAGAAACGTTTGGATTGATGTAACGTGAAGACATTAAACACACAATTGCGACAATATATGTTTTATGTGTGTTTTTTTAAGTAATCTCCTGGTAATAAATAAAGTATATGAATAATGCAGTGCTAATGGACAATTCCTTTAAGGTTTCTATGATTGGGCTGGTGTGGTGAAGCTACTGTACCGGGTGGATGCTGTGGAGGTCAGACGTAAGCCTCGCCCTCGTGCGGTTCTTCCTCGGCTGGGCTCATCTGAGCCATTTAAGTAGGAGAGCTCACGAAGTTGCTCCTGCCTGATCTCATCATTGTAATCCTATGGAAAGAAACAGCAAACTTGACATAAAAATACATGTATAAACCAACATGAAGGTGTTGTATATGCATCTCATTTGACATGCTTTTACATAAAGAAACTACCCAGTTGGATGCACATCTTGCTGAAAACAGCGTCAAAGAAACAGAGTATTAAATGCATTGCCAAACCACCAGAACGTTGGCAGGAAATGTTAAATATACTACAGAAAGTTTTCCTGACTTCAAACTAAAATAAGGATAAAAAGAAACCTGTTTTAGCTTGTTTTTTCAGATGTAGAGGACAAGAAACAGTTTTGCATACATACTGACAAAAAGGCACCATATGACATGCACTCCAACACACACTGAAAATATGGTGTAGAATGAGGGAACGCGATGCACACATATCTTTCATTCAGAGTAAGAGAAATGATAAGAGGCAGGAGAAAAATAGAGCGCTGGCTTATTAACTTTGTTTGACATCAGCTATCAGTGCATTGTTGTGAAAGAATAATTCCACTTTCTGCATTTATAAAGTACCTCTCTCATTTGATTGAACATGACAGGGCCCTGAATCACAAGGACGATTACAGAGTGGATAGCGCTTATTTTATTATCATGTCACTGCCACAGGCAGATAAACTGAGCCTCATTTCCACCAGCCACTTATTCCCTTCCTGTTTGGCACAACAGCTGGGTACAGGCAAATATCAGACATGGCAGCTAGAAGAGAGTGGCCTTTCCACCAAGATATGTCCAGCGATCAACAAAAATTGCATTTCTGAGGTTTAGAGCTGCTTTTGTGTCCACTAAATGGAGGCTTGTCCATTATTAAATAAAATGTAAATATACCAAATAAAGAGTATAACTTTCCTTCAAAAAATAACTAAAACATTAAATATCTATCATCTACAGTGCTAATTTGTGAAACATTTGGAAATATGACAAATGAGGGGTGATCATTTCACAGTCCTCTGAAGATACTCTTAGAAACTACAGAGACTATCAGAGACTACAGAGACATTGGAATTTTGATAGCTTCTGTACCATGTTGGTAAGGTGAGGTTAAGTGCTTGGATCAGCACTCTAGGTTTTCCCTGTTGCCAGGGCAGCCCATGTCGCAGCCTCAACAATCTGACTGCATTCCTTGCCTTGAGAAATGAGGGTAACACGTGGACAGACAGAAATGTATTTTATACTGATCAGATGTAATGAGCATTCTGATGGACTCATTATATAGAGTGTCTCGTGGTAAAGCTAATTATGTTCTGAATCAGATTTAATAACAGCGGTAATGCATTGATTTAGGATATAAACAGGGAGTCTTAGAAACATCAGACCAAATTATGTCCAGCCAGCCAGTCAGGCTGAAAAAATAAAATAAATAAATAATAGAAAAAACTTCTTGTTTTTTTTCTTTTCAGTCTCCGTATGAGTACATCCTCTCTGTATTATTGGTACATGTAAGACTTCTTCCTGCAAAATCTAGCCAGTTACCTTCTTAATGAGACTTCAGTCAATAGATGTACAGTACTGCCGCTGAGAAGACCTACTTCACACCTACTGAAGATGCTGGGTTTTGCATGAATCACTCTTTGCCTGTGGCAATGTGTATTCGTATTCACATTATAGGCTTTCTGTAGGTTTTATCAACAGAGGTTTAGGCCTATCAGTAGTCCAGGTTGTAAAGTCGTTTTGTTTGTTTTTTTTAAAAGATGTTAATGTTCTATGTTAAACACTGCTAAACTGGAATTACAAAATTAATTCAATGGAACTTCACAATTCATAGTGCAATTTAATCCAGAGCTAAAGATAATCTGCATGCAGCTTTCTTTTTTTTGACAATGATATCTTTACAGCTTAAGCAACATCATTGTCTCTATGGTCTATTGTCTTTAAAAGACACTCCTTTTATTCTGGAAGCATGCATTAAACTGACTAAATATGATAGTAAAGACATTTATAATGTTACAAAAGATTTCTATTTCCAATCAATGCTGTTCTTTTAAACTTTACCTCAAAGAATCCTGAAAAACAGTATCATGGTTTACACAAATATATTAAGGACAACATGTCTGAAAAATTGATAATGAGAAGAACTTTTTCTTAAGCAGCAAATCAGCATATTGAAATGATTTCTGAAGGATCGTGTGACACTGAAGACTGGAGTAATGATGCTGAAAATTCAGCTTTGCCAACTCAGGAATAAATTAAAAATATATATTCAGTTATTCTGAATAGTAAAAATGTTCACAATATTACATTTTTACTGTATTTTTAATGAAATAAATGCAGCCTTGGTTGTTATGAGAGATTTCTTTCAAAAACATTAAAAATATCTTACCAACAGTAATGTATGTGTTTGCTGGGCATTATTTGACTCATTAATCTTTGACTCTTCTCTGTCCATCCTTCTTCACATTTCTTCACTCACCAAGTCTGCCTTCTTTCACCTCCGTACTATCGCTCGTTTACGTCCCTTCTTAATTTTCAACGATGCTGAGAGAGACACTGGTTCATGCCTTCATTACTTCTTGACTCAACTAATGTAATTCTCCTTTCTACGGTCTACCAAACACAACAATATATAAGCTCCAATATATTCAGAATTCTGCAGCTAGGGTTCTCACTTTTTCAAAGAAATCTTCTCACATTACTCCCATCCTACACAGACTTAATTGGCTACCAGTTCGTTTTCGTATTCAATACAAGATACTCCTCATCACTTTCAAAGCACTTCATAGTCTTGCCCCCCTGTATATTTCCGATCTCATTCATACGTACTTCCCAGTTTGCACACTAAGATCTTCTGATACTGATACAATACACTAGAATGTCATGTGTGACGTAGCATTTAGGTTTGTTTTCACTGGAATTAAGGGACCTAGCAAAATCCTTGAATTAGAAAGGGGCCATGTAGTGAATGCCATGTCTCTATAAAACAAATGCTATGAAATATTCACATGGCTGCCTAGATATTATTAACATTTCAAAGTGCACTTGAGATGTCAGCACACTCCTTTAATCCTGACAGGAATCAAGCTTTCTGACAAAGATAAACGAGTAGACCACTATAAACACATTCAAAGATGGAAAAATGTCAAGACATTATCTCCAAACCCTAATGAGCTGCCTAGCTGCATACTGCCTACATAGGAAGCTGCTTTTATGGCAGCATCCTAACAGAAATGGATACCCACACATTGCTGTCTTAGAATTTGGCTAAAAAAGGAGGCATCATAATATGTCAGGAGCGTGTCTATGACATCTTAAAATACCTACTACAGATATAGATTAGAAACAGAGTTATTGAGATTGAAAATTAATCTGCTTGGTATTCTGATGTGGGCATAAGGAGAAAACATGGAACAACACTGACAGCAAAACATATGGAGGATGTGACCAGATCAGTGCTGTGGATGATGCAAAGATGTGGTCCAAGAGGCTAAGAGCCTGCCTAAAGCCCAGGGCGGGAGAGCTGAATGCAGGGAATCTCTCCTAGAAGGCTTCCTCCCTGAGGCCAACAACTAATACTGCTTATATTGTATTTGATTTGACCCTTGATGTAACTAAATGATGCACATTTTAGGTTACCTGAGAAAACATTTTAACAGTGCTGTGTTACTTACCAAGAAATTCTATTAAAAATCATTCAAATAAATCTCACACGGAACAGTTCAATTCTTTATAATAATATAATATAATATACAAATATTTTCAAAACAATGTGAATTCTTTTACAGTTATCTAAAACATCCCATGTAGTAGACTTTGCACACTACTACACCTGTGTGCGACTGTAAATGTTCTGCATTCACGAACCGCATTCATTGCTTCTATAGCACATCCAACTCTATAGCATTTTGCCCGAGCATTGCATTTATTTCGCATTTACTAGAATTCAATCAGATGGCTTTCCCAACTCATTTTTGCATCTGTCCTGTTAGCGGCATAGAGGGAAACTCACGGCACAGCTTAGAGGGAACATTGATCTGGACTATTTACAGAGATATTCATTTGCCACATTAATTACCTGTGAGAGCTCCAAGACCCGCTTTTTCTAACATTACAAGTAGGCTTGTGTGTGTACATTACTGTTTAAAGTTTTGGGGTTGGTACATTTTTTAAATGTTTGTAAAAGTCTCTAAGGCTCACTAAGGCTGCATTTTTTAAAAATAAAAAACAAAACAGTAATACGGTGAGATGTTATTTCAATTTAAAATCTGTTTTCTATTTTAATATGTTAAATGTAATTTATTGCTGTGAATTTTCAGCAACCATTACTCCAGGCTTCAGTGTCACATAAGCCTTCAGAAATCATTCTGATATACTGATTTGGTGCTCAGTAAATAAATAAATCTAATTTATTTATTATTAAATCTAATTATTGTCAATGTTAAATAGTTGTGCCGCTTACATATTTATTAGTTTATTTATTTATGTGCATACCATTACACAGTGAACAGCATTCATTTGAAATCTCTTGTATCAAAGTATTATTATTATTTTAAATCTTACTGACTTTTGAACTGTACATAGTCAAAAGCTGAAGAACTTGTCATTTGTTTTTTTAAAGAAAATTCATAACCTAGGGTGAAATTAATTTGGATTTGCAAAATACATTATGAGAAACCAGCAGCATTCTCTCAGTTTCTAGCCAATTCCAACATATTAAACATCCAATTTTTTAAGGCTGATCTCCAATGTATATATTTAATCATATGCATAACTCTATAATCTGTTTTTTCTATGCAATAAACATGAACAAGTTTATGCATGCAGGAGAGCACTAGAGTTCAGTATTGGTTGGTGCACTCATCTCATCTTGGCTTCCAGCTCACCATCCCTCTTAAGGAATCCGACTATATGAACTTACTGGAACAAGGAATTTCTTAATCTCCTCCAGGGCATGGCTCATGCGGGAATAGGCTTCTCCAGGTGGTGCGAAAACTTCAATTAAAACATGAAGATCGTTGCTCAAATGGGCATATTTTGCCTCTCCACTTTTCCTCAGCTCTTCCTCCTAGAGATGGAAAATAGTCAGGACTTCTGTGTGAAGAATTAATCATATCATTAATGAATTAAATAAACAGTACTTTTTTCCCCTCAAACCAAACCATGCATATTTTGAACTGAGAGTGAACTGGAAAGGCATTAAAGGGATAGATCATTTACTCACCCTCATGTGGGACATTTTTCAAATGATCTTTTTATCCCATGCACATAGAAAGGAAAGTCATACAGGTGACAGAATAATAATTTTTAGGTGAACTATCCCTTTAAGAAAGAAAGTCTGTTTGAAGTGATGTTCTTTGGATGTATTTTGACAAAAAGGTCATAAATATGACTTTTTTAACTCACATTTTATAATAATTCTCATAACGGTATGGGAAAATTGTGAACAATGGAACCTATCAACACCCTTACTCTGTAACAGATAATGGGTTCGCAGATACTGCAAATCATCATGCTTAAATCTGCCCAAGGGCTTTTGTCAGAAATAAACTGACACTGTCACCTTTCTGATTAAATCCTGCCATCAGAAGAGCAGAAAAGGGTGATATTTCACAGAAGAATTAAGTGTTTCAATTCTCTCTGATTGCTAAAGGTGTTGTGGCTCTTCAAAAAACATAAAACTTCAAAAAGCTTGTAATTAAGGTAGCCAACATTTCTGTCTAATGCTGATTACTATTTGACTGTGGCTTCTTCTTAAAGACAGGAGGACTTTGATGTAGGGGCCATCTGATCACTGATGCGGGCCCTTGTAGCCCCTTCAGCTTTAATAAACACTTACCGATGCCATCTCTCTATCATTTCAAAGTGACCCAAGCACTTTTTCCATCATGCTTTGCATGGACGAAAGGTCAGGAGACACTTAAGCTTTCCTGAGAGGCGTAATTATATTTTGTGGGGCTCCGTATACAGGCACCGATGAATTGTGAAAGGTGAGATGGTTCAGACGGTGATTTTGAGAGTAGACACAAATATATGCGTGTAGGTGTGGATGCTGTGGGTGTTTCCAGATTTTTGAGGGGAGCAGGGAGTGCTTTTGGGGAAGTTGTGGGCTAATGGTTAGAGAGTCGGAATCGTAACCCAAAGGTTGCGGGTTCGAGTCTCGTACCGGCAGGGATTGTAGGTGGGGGGAGTGAATGTACAGCGCTCTCTCCCACCTTCAATACCATGACTGAGGTGCCCTTGAGCAAGGCACCGAACCTCCAACTGCTCCCCGGGTGAGCAAAAAAATGGCTGCCCACTGCTCCGGGTGTGTGTTCACGGTGTGTGTGTGTTCACTGCTGTGTGTGTGCACTTTGGATGGGATAAAAGCAGAGCACTAATTCCGAGTATGGGTCACCATACTTGGCCACATGTCATGTCACTTTCACTTTCAGATTAACTTAAAAATGGACAGACAAAAGGGGAAGCAGGAGGCAGTGAAAAGTCTGCCACCTCATTTTTACATTTGTTCTGTTTCAAGCCTGAAAGCTTTAACTTTCCTTTCATGTCAATCCATGAAGAAAATGTTCTGTTGTTTCAAAAGGTAGGTCTGTCTCCCAGGATGCATTTCAAAAGGCACTCAAGCATGTCTAAGCACAGCAGAATCCTCTTCAAATGTGACAAAATGAAGGGTTCCTCATATTTATTCCCAGTAAAGTACAAATAGTGAATCTGACACTTATAAGCCTGACAGTTATCCAGTGCCCCTATGGAGTTAAAGAGCTCAGTTTGGAAACATTCAAACAAAAGCTTATAGAGCTAAATAAAATCTACTCCTGAAACTCATGGAAACAGGGTCATAATAAACACTGGATTTTATTTTACTTCCATAAAAATTAAGAATGTGAGTTAAATATTTCTGCTATAACATTCCTAGTCTATCCCCTAGATTGAGATTTGTGCTACACCAATTGCCATTGTGGTGAATGTAATATCCTGACATACCATTTTTTGATTCAGTCAATTTGCTGCCCTCAGACATAAGCTGTTCATTTACTTGCCTAGGGAATCATTCTAAATGCAATATTCCTTGCTTTGCAGATACTTGGATGTAGACAGTGTTATATGAAGACCTCAGTAGGACTTTCAGATACTGCACAGACAAGTCTATAAAGATGCACGGCTGACTCTTAATTTCATATGTATAACAAACCTGTACCAGCTCAAGGTGACTCTTTATAATGGAATATGTTTGCATTAATGATTGCCTTTGGGATTTAAACCAATCCAACAGGCTCTTGTTTGAGTTCTGCCATAAATTTAAATAGATTTCAGACTACGATTCTTCTGCATGGTTAAAACAGTGTGAAATTCTATAGTGAAAAGTGTGTTTATAAAACTTAAAGAACATTTTGCTTGTAGAAACGCCCCACATGGCTATTTGGAATAAAACAATGCATATTCCTGTCTCATTTGCTTCTTTTGGACACCTTTTTAGCGTGTAACAATGTATGACTATAAAACAATAACAAAACATTGGTCTTGTTTGGTTCTGTGAAATGATTGCAATGAAGACAGATTTTTGTCAAAACAATATCCGTAATTTGTTTAAATTAAAGTCTGAGGGGGAATTCATTAAGAAAAGATTATAGCCCTAAAAGCATATTTTATTTGCATGCCATCTGCATTGCTTGAGCACACAATTCACATAAGAAATTATGTAAATCAGGTAATGGTAAAATTGGGGCTGTGTGCACGATGTGATCTGCACAGTGCAGTTTGCACAATGCTAGTATACAATTGATGCAAGACCACATATAAACACACGTATGTACAGTATGTAGCATGCGAAATGCAATAAATCTAGTAAAAATAATTTCTATTGGATACAATGGGGTTATAATTTGTTCATATGGTTTCTGATATACTGCATATGAAAAAATCTCTCATTGCTTTTTTTACGTCATAAACCAACCAATCTGATTTCAGTAATAGATTGATCCACAGATAAATCCGCTGCATTTTATAGAGCTTCGTTTATTTAGAAAGGAGGTGTTTGTGCTGAAAAGAATGTTTAAATATTCACGGCACAGCGCTAAACCAGCACACATGCCTTTAGCACATGGCTAAAATAGACTGCAGGTGGAATGTGAACAAGACACTGGGTTTTGCACTGTGCACTACATTTCATTCCTCTAACAAGTTCAGAACACTTTTCAGAGACCAAATGAGGACAAACAGCTTTTGTGTAAATAATTCATACTTCACGCTCAGGCTCAGGTAACTGTAAATGCATTGCTGATTGCATAAACAAAGTTTCTGTTGATCTTCAAAATCTTCAGGTTTTCATCATGGTGCTGTTGAAAAAAGGATTGTTCCAGCTCTAAAATATTATTGGTTGAACAACATTCAACATTGATGTAAATATGCACACTAATTAGCATTAATATCTCAATGCTATATTAATATGCCAATGTTCCATGCTTCACTTGTGCCTAACAACACCCCTCAACATTGGTAAAATCTCTTTAGAATACAGCATCGCTTTGCTTATTGCTTCATTCTATTTCATACACTAAGTGAAAGAAAACTAATGCTTGATATTAATGTTTTTCATTCAATGGCGTTGCATTCAATAATATTACATTAAAATGAACATTTTATTGAGCTGGGGAATTCAAGATGGCCTATTATGAGATGACAGGAGTAGCAAACCGAGAAATATTACATTTGGAACGATTCTCTGGCTAGGTAAATGACCAGTGTGTCTCTTAGGGCAGCTGTTTGGCTGAATCACAACATGCCATTTCTAAACATTACACTCACCAACACTCAATTCAAAGCACATGTTTAAATCATATCCACTGAGAAAGATCCATACTGTGAATAGTCTCAATAACTCCTTTGCAACCTAGAGATACTGTTGATTCTACAAACACAAAAAAACCATTCAATGGCGTTGCATTCAATAATATTACATTAAAATGAACATTTTATTGAGCTGGGGAATTCAAGATGGCCTATTATGAGATGACAGGAGTAGCAAACCGAGAAATATTACATTTGGAACGATTCTCTGGCTAGGTAAATGACCAGTGTGTCTCTTAGGGCAGCTGTTTGGCTGAATCACAACATGCCATTTCTAAACATTACACTCACCAACACTCAATTCAAAGCACATGTTTAAATCATAATCCACTGAGAAAGATCCATACTGTGAATAGTCTCAATAACTCCTTTGCAACCTAGAGATACTGTTGATTCTACAAACACAAAAAAAACATAGGTCTGTTAGGTTGCAATATATATTTCTCTTTTCAAGAATGTATACAACATCGGTAAATGCTCAAAACAGCAGTTCCTCCTCTATCTAAGGGGCATATAGAGCAGGTAATGATCTTCTGTCTCAGCGTCATCTCACACTTTGCTCTATCAGCCACTGCTGATGCTTGGAACTCAAATAAATGAAAGGTTTACAGGATTTAAGGGATAAAGCACTCTGCTCTGGAATAAATGTAGTGTGCATAACATGCACAAGCTTATGGAAGCCCATTTCCTCCACATATGAAAAAAAATAATGCTTTGGTAAATCATAATTATGATATAAAAAGTAAAAATTATTAGATAAGTCATAATTATTAGTTAAAACGTTGAAATTTAGTTAAAACGTTGAAAGTTACTGCATGACTAATATGTCAATAATTTTTTAAAATCTCATAATTATGACTTAGTATCCAATATTTCAACCAGAGTATGTGAGCGGACTGGAGCGGCAGCAATTTAATATTCACTCTGCTCTGCTCCGGGTTCAGCGTTTCCCGCTCCTCACTCCACTGATCAGAAATGCAGCTCCGCCTTTGCTCCATGGCGAAATTTGTCGCTAAAGTATTTCAGCATGTTTTGAAATACCACAAAGTTCTGTTCAGAACATATATTAAACGAAAATTTGCACAAGCTTATGGAAGCCCATTTCCTCCACATATGAAAAAAAATAATGCTTTGGTAAATCATAATTATGATATAAAAAGTAAAAATTATTAGATAAGTCATAATTATGAGATAAAAAGTCATAATTATTAGTTAAAACGTTGAAATTTAGTTAAAACGTTGAAAGTTACTGCATGACTAATATGTCAATAATTTTTTTAAATCTCATAATTATGACTTAGTATCCAATATTTCAACCAGAGTATGTGAGCGGACTGGAGCGGCAGCAATTTAATATTCACTCTGCTCTGCTCTGGGTTCAGCGTTTCCCGCTCCTCACTCCACTGATCAGAAATGCAGCTCCGCCTTTGCTCCATGGCGAAATTTGTCGCTAAAGTATTTCAGCATGTTTTGAAATACCACAAAGTTCTGTTCAGAACATATATTAAACGAAAATTAAATCCACAGTACTAGAAGAATAGTTTTAACGTGGTTTATTGGAACACTACAATTAGCCCAAGTTTATATTAAATGACTGTTTAACTCACTTGTGTGTGCAGCGTCTCTCTACTTTGGCGAAGCTGAGGGTTGTAGTTACTTCAGAAACAGAAAGAATATGCTGTAACTTTTCCTTTTTTAAGCTGATAAACCACAGGACAGCGTTGACAATAATTTTCTGCACTCCTGAATGTTTCTATGTGTGCGCGATCTGTATGTTATGTGCGAACTTGTGTGTTGTGTGGGCGCGTGCAGCAATGTAGCTATACCACAAAGTTCTGTTCAGAACATATATTAAACGAAAATTTAATCCACAGTACTAGAAGAATAGTTTTAACGTGGTTTATTGGAACACTACAATTAGCCCAAGTTTATATTAAATGACTGTTTAACTCACTTGTGTGTGCAGCGTCTCTCTACTTTGGCGAAGCTGAGGGTTGTAGTTACTTCAGAAACAGAAAGAATATGCTGTAACTTTTCCTTTTTTAAGCTGATAAACCACAGGACAGCGTTGATAATAATTTTCTGCACTCCTGAATGTTTCTATGTGTGCGCGATCTGTACGTTATGTGCGAACTTGTGTGTTGTGTGGGCGCGTGCAGCAATGTAGCGCACTTTAGTTTAGAGCGGAGATTAACTACCTGTACAATAAACTGTTTAAAACATGAATTCACCCAATCATTACTGAGTATCCACATGCTACAAACAAACATGCCTGAGATATAACCTCCCACACTCGTCCATCGCCGTCATTAACCTTCACCTTCTTTCTGATTTGAGTGATCCACATATCTGACAAGCCAGTTAATGATGTTTAATGCGTGAATTCTTGATGAAATGCAGTTATAGTATGAACTGTTGGCATTAATTGTGCTAATTTTTTGACTTTCTAAAAATCCACTCCTCGCTCCAGTCAAAAATCACACACTCGGATTTCAACATAATTATAACATAAAACGTTTTTCAAATTATGAATGCCAAGTCATAATTATGAGATAAATAGTTTAAATCGTGAGATAAAAAATTTCAATTGTGAAATAAAAAGTCAAAATTATAAGTCAACATTTTATGTCATAATTAAGACTTTCTAATATCATAATTATGACTAAGCATGTCATAATTTTGACATTTTAGATTATATATTACCTTATATATTACTTTGTATTTCATAATTTTAACTTTTTATGTCATACCAAAAGTTATTTTTTTTCCGTGGCAGAAATAGACTTCCATAGAATTACAATACTATTACACTTTCTCATTGACAAAAATCAACAAATGGTTTAATACAGGTCTAAACAAATGCAGGTAGTTTGCTTTGGTCATGAGGAGTCAGTTGAGATATTTTATTTAATATAATGGCATTTATGGTTACAAACAAATCAATGTCAATCTTAATAATAATACTCGAAGCATTTATGGAATATATTGCATTTATACAGTACATAGGAGAATAAAAAAAGAAGTTGTTGCCAGTCATCTTACCTTGCCTTTATCCCTCATTGAACCCTTGCCGAGGATGGACATCTTTGCTCCCGTTTCCTCTTGTAATCTTTTCATGGAATTGCCCCTGGGCCCCAGCAGTTTCCCAACAAAATTAAACTGTAATAGAGGAGAGAAAAAGCAATACGGTTGGTCTCTCACACTGCCTGCTTCCTAGACAGTTGCCTCAGTTACTTCACAGTCAAAAAAAAAACATTAAAAAGTAGGTTGGTTTTTCTCATCAAGCACAAAAACAGTTACAGTGAGAGAATGAAAAATTATTTTGTTGGTTCAAAATGAAATCTGTGGCAGTCCTCAAACATTTTTTGGTTCAAGTTTTTCAGAAGCGATCAAAACAGATGTGAAAGTCTACACCTGTTTCTGCAGGGCACTGCAGCCACTCATGTGTCTAATCGATGTTTGGGGTCAGTGGTTGGGCTCCGCTGCTTTCAGAGATATTATAACATGTACCAAATGCCAAAAGGGATGTTCAAAATGATCCAGAAGTCCATGCTTGAATGAGGCATAACATAATGAGTTTATTTCCAATGGGGATTCAAGTAATACTACTCAGATGATGAGCTATCCAGCAACTGCCTTGGGGCAGCAACTAACATTTCAGTCACACAGCAGATCAGCGGTCATTGAGAACACTCGGACTTCACCATTTTTTCACCCCCTCTCTCCGTTGGTTACTCTTACACTTTGCAATCAGATTTGGGCTGCAGAGGTTTGTTTAATGTCCATGATAACAACAAATCTTAAATAGTCAATAAATGCTGCCATTGTAAGAAAACAGTGCATCAGATTCCCTTTATAACACTTCATCACTGTCAGCTCATGTTCAGTGTTCATCACTTTATCTGATGCATTACTACAATCCCCTTAGCAAAGCAGCCTCTCTAAATTCACTTTAGATGTAATATGTTTTTGAGAAACCTTTTAAAAACATTTTGTATATCTTTACACAGGACAATAAAACAGAATAAGAAAGTGACCTTTTGGATGTTGAGAACACATCTCACACACACACACACACACACTTTCACAATTTTTCACATGTTTTAACTTGACACATCGTATCACTGTCAACACAGTGGTAATGGCAAAAGACATAAAAAAAATGGATATGAATTTAAACGACTTCTTCTCTGTGAGAGTTTTACTGTGTGAAATGTAAAACAAATTTTTTTACTGTAATACGAATTTTACTGTGCAAGCAGGGGGAAAAAACTTAACTCTTAAACTTTACTCTTAAAAAACAGTCTTAAGACTAGGAGGCCCAAATAAATAAATAAATACATAAATATTGGTTGTGTTTGACTAGTCCACCATCCGTGACATTCCAACTGTAATGTAAATAAAGCACACATTTGTACAGTCTGATGTTGCATAATTTTAGCGATAAGGCCATTTACTACAGTATTTGTATATGTCCAGCCCAGTGAGCCAGACATTACTAAGGGAAGTGAATTTGTCCTTCAAATGTTTGCAACGGTTAGCTGATATGTGGTGGCCAGAATGAAACAGTTGGCTATAACACATGTTGACATACCCTGCCTAGCACATGGCTGGAATCTCCTCAACACATGCTCTTCCCAGTCAGGCTGTAGATGCAGCTGTACGGAACTCTAGCTGATGAAACGCAGAAGAACCGTCACCGAATTTAGCCGGAGCCACAAAGCAAATGCAAACAGTTTCAGGTGAAAGGGTGAGGTGTGGGTAGGGCAGTATATTTAGCAACACTGCAGCACTGCGCCAAAGCGTCATGACCAACTCTCTCGGAGCAGTTGAGCTGGAGGTGTGCCTTTTGCATCCCCTCTGACGGGGAGTGTATGACAGGAATACTCTGCAGCTGGCTGGGTGCCTCGGAGCAGATGGTTGCCTCAGCTACAGTGTGAAGATGCTCACTGGGCGGCTGCAGTGGAGTGGCCTGTTTTCATTAAGCTAATGAATGTCTGGAGCCACTCTCCTGCTCCAAGGTGGGCAATTTAGGCTTTATTAGGGGGCACAGTTCAGTGCTGGATGAGGTTTGAAGTGATGCAAGCTGTCCCTCGCAGTCCCCAGCAGAGGCAGGCCACAGAATGATGGGCATTATGCAGCACTGACAGGCTGAGGATGATAAACCTGACAACCGGAGGCATAAGTGTCAAACCGCATTACCTTATTATGAGCAAATGGGACTTCTAAGAAAGTGCGCATGGTGTGCTGTTGGAGACTAGATCACTAACTCACACTTCTAGAGCCTGGATCAGTGTGTACGTCAGAAAACACTGCGAAAATCCCGGGAAAGCACAAGCTGTAGTGTTTATTGATAACTAAAGAAGCTCGGATGGCTATTCACTGTGCTGTCATGCAGAATCACTTATTTTTGGAGCCTGCAGGGAGTTCAGAGTATGTGTGTGGCTGGCTGAACAAATTACTTTTCACACATGAGTCCCGTTGACAGGAACCTTCACCTGCGCTTGGTGCATTCTCATGTACATTACATTGATTTCTCTGTCAAAAATTAATTCAGAAATCATTCAAGTCACTCAGACCACTAAGCTCTTGATCAGTTTCATATTGGCACAATCACCAGACACATTTTATTGGCACAATCACAGACACATTTTACTATCATCACATAATGACAGTCATTCTATTGGAGTCATTTCTGTTGATTCGTCCAATATGCTGTAACTACACAATCAGCAGACAAAACAAAACAAAACATCTTTATCCATTGAGGGCCATGCAAACATAACTGTGTACTCTACAAAATTGTATTTATTTATTTATAAACAAATATAATCACTAATATTTTGTTGCTCTGCAAAAGCAAAGGTGAAATTTGGTATGTTGGGTTACTAGGCACATTTTTCTCAGTACCATTGTTGTTACATAGTTACACATGCCTTTGTGGGGCAGTGTTGTACAGTAGATGTTGTCTACATCAGTTGCCATTAGGACTGCGCAATATGGCCAAAAATATTATCACAATATTTTTTTCCCATGTCATACAATATCTTTATTTATCACAATATTTGTTTACCATTAATGGAAATGGAAATACTTTCCACATGTTTGTCAGACCTTGCGAATGACTGTAAACATAATTTGTTTGTTCACAAACTCCACCGAGTAAGCTACCTTTTAATTAGGGCCCCATGAAATCCATTTTATTTTCCCTAAATTCTTAGTTTTCCATTGTATTTTTTTCTGGATTCTGTGTTTTATGACTGAATACAAATTTGCCATCAAAAATGGTGTCTAATGAAATTAATAAATAAAATTATAACAATCGAATCAGTCTTTTAAAATGTAATCAAATGAAAACATAAATATAAATACAAAACATTGCATTTTTATTTTTTGTGAAATAAGATGCTGCACAACAGAAGTACAGATTAGTATTATAATATGTAGTATTATTATTACTTTGAGAAGTGCATTTTAGTATACAATATTAATATATTTCTGTCATAATTTCTTCAAGTTAAACAGAACTTTTTTGGCAGCTTGTATCAAATCTTTGTATTTCATTGTGTATTTGACGGTAGTTTTTCTCAAATGAAATTGACTCTCAGAGCAGCTCTGGAGATGTTCATGTGCTCGTGTCCTCATATACTGAGATGGCAGACGCTGAAAACACTGTGAGTGTCACATGCATTTGAGGTTGTGTAGTAGACGAAACTACGTCACTCATTTAAACAAAGATACATAGAGCATGCAGACTTATAAGCGACTTGCACTGACTGGCTGTTGTCACATTTATTTCTGCTTTGTCATAGGCTGTTAATAATTTTATTGCAATCTTGATATAATATATTTTATTGCCCAGCCCTAGTTGCCATAGACATGAATGTCACTGGATAGCTCTCTCCAGGTATCACAGACCTTCTGTTTTTGCTGGAAATCATTCCCTACATGATCATCAAGTGTCTAGCGTAATTCTTTGACGAGTAATTTCAAGAATTTAGGCACTTAAAAATGGGCCAAAGACCAAATAAGGTTGAGAATTCCTGCTCTAAGACCAGCTTTACTTGTTAATTTAAACCTCCTCAGAAAGAGTCTTAAGAGTTTAAAATATGTCTCATACTCAGTCTTTAATGCATTCTGTACTTAATTCTGAATTTCATTTCGTGGTGCACTAAAAGTGCTGTTCTAGAGCAATTCTCTTCTGCTTTCCCATTCTCAACAGGTTTGTAGCAAAGTGCTCCTCTATACTTTTCTAAGTCTTTGACTATTTTGTTTTTCATTCTGCATTATTAAAGGTGCATATTCTTATCCTTCGTGAAAGAGCTACATACTAATCTATTTTTGGTGCATCTTATCACATCATCAAGAAATTGGAACAAGAGATCTTGAGGGACACAAGCACAATTTCAATCTGCTGCCAATTTATCATGACTGAATATGCTCTATACATCTAAAGCTAAAGAGATATTAAGCACAAGACACATGCTAACTTGTGTTATTTACACATTTGGGCTCCAGACTGTGCCAATTAAACCTGGAATTATAGACTCTGCAGAAATAGTTACAACAGCTCCACTGCATTTTATGCTGTATAAATGACTATAATGTCTAGGGCCAATAAACTTCTAAATATCCTCAAGGCTGTTTCAGCAAAAATGGCACAAAACTCCTCAGGCTTTACAACAGAATGTGCTGCCAGCCAAAGTTGGCGAAGAGAACACATACCATAACCATTAGTGGAGTTAGGCTGTTTGCCTCTGTTTGAGTTGGAGGTTGAAACATAGCACCCTTGCCATAAGCTGTGAAACCAGATAAGATCCACATGGGTTAGATGTCTACTGCCAGTGTAGCCAGCTGTGCTGCTAGCGAGGCCAAGCACAGGCTGATAGCAGGATTATTGCTGGGAACTAGGATTGTGAGAGATGTAATAATGACCAGGAGAAATGGCCTGGCTGCAGTCAATAGACATGGGTATTAGCAGAGAATGGTTTAAACAGTGGCAGCGCACTATGGTGTTAAATAGAGGCAGGTGTCAAAGGGCCAGTGCTGGCAGTTAGTGGAGGCTAATGAGCTAGGACAAAGAGGGAGAGCTTTGATACTGGCCAGCATTCACCATATATTATTATAGCTTTAACATCAAAATAAGCCAAAGGGCTTTC